GTAACCTCAATGATATTTTTGAGCTATAGCATATATATCTCAATTGATATACAATAAGGTCCTTGAGTAGATTATGTCTATTCATATGTTACGTTTCAGTTATTTCTAGCAATAAACATTGCAGGCCTGTTCTTATATTCTCATAACAAATCTATCTCTTCTTATCCATCTCATTCAATGTTCTTTTTCAGATATTTGTCCTATGACCTACTACTGTCAGTAAGTACAAACAGAAGCCATGTCCATTAATCTTGATATTGGACTGGATTTGTGCAAATTACATAAAAACAATTATGTGACAAAGAATTATTGAACTTAAAATTAGGCAATTTTAAGCAAAAATATTATTTGTCTTTAAAGCTGAAAATCTTACAGTGACAAAATGAAAGATAGAATATTTTATTTATAATGAAGTATGGAGGACTTCGTGTCATTCAGAATTGCTATTAATTTTATATTGCAAAATATTTTATTAAGAAAATATGTCACATGTTTTGAAATTTTTGTTTTACCTCTTCTGATTGAAGAGCATTGCTTGTCACAAATACGATATAAGCATTTAGTTATTTTCAATGTATTCTTTGAGAAATCTCAATCTAATTATTCACGTAGGGGCACACAATGTCAGTATTTCTTGTAGAATGCAAAGTATAAGAAATTGTTATTTCTAGGAAAGGAACAGTTTTTTGCACAATCACTTCTCTATACAATTTATCACTGCATTTAATTTTTTATTTATATTCTCTAAATGGTGAAATCTTTCCTGTCAGCTCAAACATGTGTTAATTTTTCTCTTTCTTGTTGGCACAGTTAACAACAGATTGAGAAATATGCACCATATCCTCTTGACCATGGAATCAGTATTGCCGGTAATCCATTTTTTCTGTATAAATGAATTTTCCCCACTCCTGCGATGTCAAGATACTAGACCTCAATTTTCTGGCTTGCATTTTCTTCCACTTCTTATTATCTATGAGCCACACTTCCCTTTTTAATGATTAAATAAATTGATTCACGATGCAATAAAGACCTGTGGAAATGGAACTCATTTAAAAGCACACAGATATTCACCAAGATAATTAGAAATATCATTCACTCATGAAACAAATGATTTATGTTTTAACACCAACTTAATGTAATAACTGAAAAAGTTAGGAATAGTGGAGATCCATTAATAAGTACACAACAGAAAAGAATTTTAGGTTTTGCTTCAAATTTACTTTCCTCTTTACATTTTTTGAGGTTAAAAGTTCTAACACACTAACAGCTTCTGGATAATCAACTCTTTGACTCTGCCTCCATGTTCCATATTATTTAAAAGACAGGCAGAAATCTGTTTGAAAAGTTCATCTGAGATTATCAAACGAATCAGGATAATTTTAAATTTTAAACATAAGAGTCATTCATCTTTGAAGAATAGAATAGAATAAATTCATGAAAATGATATTGTATACCTAAGAAGCCCTGCAAATATGACTTCATAGATTTATTGGAATTTGTAAGTGACTGTGTTTGTATGTGTTTCTTTGTGTATTGAGTGAGAGGAGAGAGAGAGAGAAATACAAAGCCCAACTGCATTATTTTAGTGTTTCTAACATGTATTCATGTTTAGTGATGGCTCTCAGTCTTCAATTACTTAGAAATGGTACCATTGTAGAGGCAAAACTTATAGGACTACTTATTTTATTATCAAAATTTGCTATCTAAGCTGCTAAGCGTTCTGATGCCATGGAAGTTCTAAAGAATGGCATTCATAAAAGGAACATCACAATCTTAGAGGCAACAAATATTTAACAATATAACATAAAAGGAATACATGCCCATTTGAAGATAATCACCATTGTGATTAAGCTGGCTTTAGGTCAGGAGTACAGGAATTGTTCAGCAAACTCCATTATATGAATATAAAATTCATAACATGTAATTAAGTCCACAAAGCAGATGATAAACTCAATAGATCAAGAAAAAGCCTGTGAAAAAATACACCATGTCTTCAAGGTGAAATTCACACAGAAAGTAGGAATGGAGGAATATTACTTCAAAATACTAAAGTCTATCTCTCACAAAAAAATATGGTTGAAGCAATACTATGTGTAGAAAAACTACAAGAGAACCTAAGACAATCTTGAAGAAGCTTAGATACCCACTATTCCTACTCCTTTACAGTGATGCAACTGAGGAATGGCACTAATATATGAAGTGAAAAGAATTTAAAGAATGCAAATATGAATAGACAAATTTAATTAATTCCCATTTTCAGATGAAATGGAATTATATATAGGACATCCCCATATTATACCAGGACACATGAAGTACAGGCAAGAATTTCAAGGAAATGACAAAAGTCACCTTATAATAATCAACATCCTTTTTATATGCAAACAACAAACCAACTGAGAAAGATATAATCAGAATAACACAAAAGAGAAAATGTCTAAGCATAAATATAACCAAGAAGAAAATAAACTCTAATCTCAGGGGAAATTTTTAAGAAAAATACATATAAAGTGGAAAGACATTAAACCTATACTGGTAGAATTCATATTTGGGAAATGAACACCATACAATAACCAACTTAATGATACTATGCAATCTAGAAAAATATTATTTATAGAAATAGAAAAAAATATCCTTAATTTCATGTGCTACCAGCAATATTTCTGGATATTAAGAGAAATTATGAGCTTAAAGTTAAATGTGGAGCTATTGCCATTTTAGTGTACAAGGTAATTTATAGAGCTAGAGTGATAAAAGCTTACCGAGAAATTATGAGCTTAAAGTTAAATGTGGAGCTATTGCCATTTTAGTGTACAAGATAATTTATAGAGCTAGAAAGATAAAAGCTTACCTAACTACCCAGGGCTACTGAAGATTTTTTATCAGGTTCCACATGGGGACAAGGAGCAGGTGAGTGAAAGAGTGGCCAAGAATGTGGTGTTGGCTGAAAATTGACTAAGTAGCAATAAGAATTCTTCTTTACATATAAAGAATTCAGTTAGCAGTGATAGATTCATATCATTCCAAAACATAAATAATAGAAGA